GGTGGGGTCACTAGGAGCTGAATTTTAAAATCTAAATATGGATTCATTAAAACCTAAAACATGTACTGATGCATTACCACCAGCCTACCTTATCGTTCATGCCATGGGAGAAACACCCCTATCTAAACGCTCCCCTTTTTTGATTCAAAAATTGTTTGAATCGACCGTTGGGAATCTGAAAAAAATTCAAAAATTGAGGTCAGGAGATCTACTTGTAGAAGCAGCCTCCCCTCAACAGTCAGCAAAGCTTCTGAAAATGAAGTCTCTAGGAGACATAATGGTAACCATCACACCACACACAAATTTGAACTCATCACGTGGTGTGATATCTGAAAGCGATCTGATGTCTGAGGATGAATCGGATATTCAGATCGGTCTTTCAGACCAAGGTGTCACTGCTGTTCGACGAATTTCAATCCGTCGAGATGGCAAGTTGATACCAACGAAACACCTTATTTTGACTTTCAACAAACCAACATTGCCATCTTCTGTTGCGGCAGGATATCTCCGTTGCCCAGTTCGCCCATACATCCCAAACCCGCTACGTTGCTTTAAATGTCAGCGGTTTGGACACTCCCAAACATCATGCAGAGGAAAAAAAGCATGTGCACAGTGTGGAAATGAAGACCATGAGAGTAATGAATGCACAAGTTCTCCATGCTGTGTGAACTGCAAAGATGCTCATCCTGCCTACTCTCGGAAATGCCCTTCATGGCAGAGAGAGAAAGAAATTCAGCGATTGAAGACTATTAATAATATATCCTACCCGGAGGCACGTCGTATGGTCACCTTAAATACACCAGTGAAACAAAAGACATTCGCTGCTGCTCTGAAATCCACAAAGACATGTGGAGTTCAGACAGACATTTCTGTTTCACCCGATGAATCTCTGACTCGCCATGAAAAATGTCTGCTGATACCATCTACCAAAGCAACAGAAAAAGAGAATAACAAAGCAAAACCACTCATACCTAAAACAGGGGTAACAACTAGGAATGTGGGTTCCAAAAAAGCCAGTAAGAACCCACTTAATAAACAAAGAATAAAAGCAGCCCTGTCTAAAACTAAAAAATCAGAGACTCAGTCTATGAGCGAGTTCTCTGACTTCTCTGATGAAGAGAATAATAAGGGGGTGACACCACCAACATCACCTCCAAAAGAAAAACCCCCTGTGAAATTAAAGAGGGACAACCTTGCTAAAAATGCTGCCTCAAACACATAATGGATTATAAAATAATCCAATGGAACTGTCGTGGTTTCCGCAACAACTTCTCTGACATTAAACACTTGACGTCATCTACCTCATCTCTCTGTGTGGCACTCCAGGAGACTCATCTAAAACCTGGAGAAAATATTTCTTTAAAAGGATTCAATCTTTACCGCAAGGATGATGATAGCCACAACCGTGCCAGTGGAGGTGTGGCTATTGTAGTTTCAAATCACATCCCATCCTTGCCGGTACAAATCACCACTAATTTGCAAGCCGTGGCAGCTAGAATATCTATTGGAGTAACTGTCACAGTTTGTTCTATATACTTGCCACCAGATGTCAGAGTGAATGAGAATGAATTGGATACTTTGGTTGAACAGCTACCAACACCATTTCTTTTACTGGGTGACTTCAATGGTCACAATCCTATGTGGGGCAGTCCTGACATCAATCGTCGAGGCAGAGCCATCGAGAGATTTATAGGTAATCACCAACTGTATCTATTTAATACTGGAGAAGTGACATACTTCCATGCCCCATCAAGAACGTTCACTGCCATTGATCTATCATTAGCAACTCCGAATCTGTTTTCAGCATTTACATGGGAGGTTGGATCTAATCCACTCTCTAGTGACCACTTCCCAATATTTCTAAAATATCGAGGCAGAGAAAGCTGTGAAACAGCCCGTCCACCACGCTGGAAACTGGAAACGGCAGATTGGCCTGCATTTTCCTCTTTGGCTAACATCACTGAGGAAATGGTCAATACTGCTGATATCAATGATGCAGTTGAAATTGTCACTTTGTGTATTATTCAGGCAGCTGAGAAAACAATGGGAAAGACATCAACAAGATATCCAAAGCATCCGAAACCATGGTGGAACCAGAATTGCGAGGCAGCATTTAAAGCACAAAAGAAAGCATGGGGGATTTTCAGAAGATACCCCACTGCTAGAAATTTGATTGCTTTTAAAAAAGCAAAGGCAAATGCCAGAAGAATAAGAAGGCAAAGCCAAAGGGATTCTTGGAGGAAGTATGTTTCTAGCATAACATCTTCCACTAGCTCAAAAGCAGTCTGGGATAAAATTCATAAAATCAATGGGAAATATGCTTCTCACTCTCTGTCCATGCTGGAAAATAATGGCACAATAATCAGCAATATACAGGGTATTGCTGATACGTTGGGTGAAACGTTTTCTACTTCATCTAGCAATATTATGTATTCAAGAAATTTTCAGGCTTATAAAGCCCAAAGAGAAAAACAGTGTTTAAACTTTCATTCCTTATCTAATGAGGAATATAATGTGCCATTCACTAGAATTGAATTACAAACAGCGCTCTCTCGCTCGAGGAATAGTGCTGTAGGCCCAGATAAAATCCACTACAGCATGATTAAAAATCTGTCAAACAGTTCCCTTTCTAATCTCTTGCACCTGTTTAACAGAATATGGACAGAAAATAATTTCCCTGACTCTTGGAGATTATCAATTATTATCCCTATTCCAAAACCTGGTAAAGACCGCAAGAATCCCTCTAATTACAGACCAATCTCTCTGACAAGTTGCCTGTGTAAACTTTTTGAGAGGATGATAAACAGACGTCTGATGTATCTCTTAGAGGAAAAGAACTACTTTTCACCACATCAGAGTGGATTTCGTAGGAACAGAAGTACCACGGATAATCTAGTAAAACTTGAAACATCCATACGCGAAGCGTTTGTTAGACGACAACACTTAGTGTCTGTATTCTTTGATATAGAGAAGGCCTATGATCGCTGCTGGCGTTACGGAATACTTCGTGATCTACATGAATTCGGATTGCGGGGTAATTTGCCAATTTTTATAAAAAACTTTTTGCAGAATCGAAGATTCCAAGTCAGGATGGGCAACACTCTATCTAGGTCTTTTGTCCAAGAAGAAGGTGTTCCTCAAGGATGTATTTTGAGTGTGACTCTGTTCCTAATTAAAATTAATAGCATAGCTAACTGTCTTCCTCCCAGTGTGAAACACTCTTTGTATGTGGATGACTTTCAGATCTCCTGCCAGTCTAGCAACATGAGTTTCATTGAGAGACAACTGCAAACCTCCCTAAATCGAATAGACAATTGGTCCAAGATTAATGGTTTTAGTTTCAACATAGAGAAGACCTCGTGCATCCACTTTTGCCGAAGGCGTGGTTTGCACCTGGATCCAGAAATTTACCTAAATGGGGATAAAATTCCAATGGTGAATGAGGCTAAGTTTTTGGGTGTTTCTTTTGACCAAAAACTGACATTTTTGCCACACTTGCGCAACCTGAAGAGTAGATGTTTAAAATCTTTAAACCTTTTAAAGGTACTATGCTGCTCATCCTGGGGAGCAGACAAAGTTTCGATGCTCAGGATTTATAGGGCCCTTGTTCGCTCTAAGCTGGACTACGGTTGCATTGTTTATGGCTCTGCGCGAGAATCTACTCTTCGGATGCTGGATCCAATCCACCATCAAGCTTTGCGTTTGTGCACCGGTGCATTTCGAACTTCCCCTGTTCAAAGTTTGTATGTGGATGCTTATGAGCCTTCACTCTCTCTCAGGAGAGAACAGTTGTCTCTCTTCTATTACATTAAACAAAAATCTCAGAAAAAACTTACAGCTGATTGTTCAGATACTCAGCTGAAAAGATTATTTGCCGCTCGGACGAGTTGTGTCCCCACATTCGACATAAGAATGGAGAATGTAAGCAGCACGATTGACCTAGACACAAGCAACATCTCACATGTTGAGGTTAATAGTATTTCACCTTGGTCATCTTCACCGATCGATGTTGATTTAAGCTTAAAGCAGTTCCCTAAAGAAACCACGCCAGACTACGTCTATAGACAGCACTTCGCAGAAATTCAGCATCGTAACAGGAATTTAATTCCTATATACACCGATGGATCTAAATCGGATAACTATGTTGGCTTAGCCTTTGTTTGCCAGGATGAAATTGTGGCAGAACAAATAGCACCGAATTCTTCCATCTTTTCTGCGGAGTTGCAGGCTATTTATTTAGCCTTAAAGTATATAAATCGGAAAGGTCATCGTTGCTGCGTGATTTACACTGACTCAGTTAGTGCACTTCAGGCTTTGATCTCGTATGAACCTAGTTCTCACTCCATAGTTATTAAAATTCGAAAACTAATTTGTCATCTCACTACGAGAAATTTTTTTGTGAAGTTCTGTTGGGTCCCAGGCCACGTGGGTATAAGAGGTAATGAAGAAGCTGATACAGCTGCTAAGTCAGCAAGTCCTTCACAGCATACAATGCGTATTGAAGGAGGTGATTTGAAGCTAGTCGTTAAAAAACGACTAGCAGAGAGATGGCAAAACGTGTGGAATGCACAAATCCACAATAAACTTCACGAGATCAAACCTTTGGTAGAAAATTGGACACATAATAGGCAATATGATAGGAGATCTGAGGTTATCCTTACTCGTTTGAGAATTGGACACACTCGACTGACTCATCAATACCTTTTGAAGGGAGATGACGAACCAGTATGTCAGCACTGCAACTGTGCTGTAAGTGTTAAACACATATTTTGCAACTGTGTTGCTTTTGATCAGAGTCGTAGACAGCATTTCGGAAATGCAAGCCTTAGAGACATTTTGGGCCAGAGGCTAAACCTGGATAATATACTGGACTTTCTGAAAGTCATTAATATGTATAGAGAAATATGATGATTTATTTATTATATAGTTTTATTTACTTCATGGTGCATATTTAAATTATTGTATATATTTTTTGTTGTTGTTTATTTATTTATTTATTATATTTTAGATTTTATATATATACTACCATTGGCTTTTTAATGGTTAAATTGTTCTTGTATATATGTGTTTTTCTATTTATTTTATACACTCAATGATACCTTGTGTTGTGGCGCAGTATAGCCTGCATGGCTTTTGTGCCAATAAAAATTAACTAACCAACCAACCAACCAAATGTTTGTTTTATTATGTTATGTTTAATAAATGTTTGTTTTATTACATTATTTTTTATTCTTTCAATTGTACATAAACAATATCTACACAAAACGATGTTGCCAGTTAACGGCACCAACATCGGACATGAAAAATGCTTTAAAGTTATCCCTTACAGCTTTTGCCTCTGAGCTGTAAAAGTTGGAGTAGGTGGTTGCCACTTGTGGAAGATGTATATCTGTCCAGGGCTGTACAGAAATCTCATTTTTCCATGCACCAGGCACAGTGATACTGATTTTCACATCTTTTCTGTCCACATAATTGACTGGCCATGATACTGTGTTTTCATGGCTCTTTAAAAAGTTGTGAAGCGCACAACCAGCAAGTACTAATGTGCGCTCTTTGTCTGGCTGCAACAGTATGGGATTCAGGAACACTCGTAGTCTGTTTGAAAAAATTCTGAAAGCTGTCTCCATTACTTGGTGGCCACGTGAAATTCTAAAAACAATTAAAAGATATGTTTAATCCAACTATTGCTCTATCAATTTTTCAAGATCACAGGTTTTTTTTTATTATACCATCTACCCTTTTCCTACTGGTATATTGCTGCAAGAATGCAAGACAGTTGCATTAGCCACTGAATGCTTACCTGTAATTGCATATCTGTTCTTCCAGAGTCAAATCATTTCCACCATAAGGTTTGATGATATATGGTTTCAAGCCCAAAAGCCTCATCAGCTAAGGAAAACATATGGAGTGAATATGTCTTGACCTGGAAGCGGATGAGCTGGAGGTATGTCAAGAGCATTTACATCTATAAGCTCCTTTAAGTTGCATTTGTTCCACACACCTCCATTGCTGATTATACCTTGTGTGCCAACATCAACTGTGTGCCAACATCAACATATCTAGAAAATCAAAATAAAGAAAATGCTTTTAGCCCTTGGTATAGTTAAATTAATTAAAAATCTACTAATTATTATCATTTTTTAACAATAATGTGTATATGAAAATAAAAAAACAAGGCATTGGAAGTCCGGAATAGACTTGTTTCTTACCTTCTGCACATCAACTTACTGAAATGTGTAATTTGCATCCACAACTGCTAAAAGAACAATTGATTCAGTCCCTCTGTAATTATGGTAATGAGAAACACTGTTGATGGGCTTCCTCATCACAATGTGCTTTCCATCAATGGCTCCCAAACAATGGAGCGCATTCCACCAATCTTGAAAGTGCTTGGCAATAGCCATCCAATGTTCCTTTGATGTTGGCACTTGAAATGTATATTTTAGGGTCTTGTACAAAGCGGTACATGTTTCTATGACTATGTAGGATATCGTTCTTACATCAATTCTGAATTCCGAAGATAAATTTCTAAATGTACTTCCTGTGGCTAGAAACCGGAGAGTGACAGTCAGTCTCTCAGCAGGAGATATGGGCTTCCCAAACTTTGTCTTTTGCTTCTGAATTCTTGGGGAAATTTCATTCAAAAGATGCTCAAACTGGCTTTCTGTTAGCCGCAGCCACCTCCTGGAAATAAACATGCAATTTGTTAATTAGATTTGTGCTTTAAAAGACATCAAACTCCCTACATTATGTTAATTGCCATGTTAGCCAACGTACCTGTATGAAGTAGGATCCTGGCCTCTCAACTCTTAGATTTAAGTTCAAGAAGGCCCCTTTATCTGTTCGTCTTTTTATCCAAGTTTTGGTAGGCCCCCTCTTTCTACGCTGTTTGTTTTCGTGTTGTTTTTCCAGCTCCACTACTATTATGGCACACACTGCATAATTTGATTTGTCTTCACAATCGCCAATTCTTATTATTGAACAATTACACAATACAATTAACAATCTGCCAGCATGCCTAACTCAAAGGGAAAAGCACAATAACACGCCTTCACATAGATCGTTATGTCCTTGTAAGTTTTCCACTGGCTGTCCATCTTGAATGGCTTGAAACGAACTGCACTGGTTGGTGTTCCTGGGATCGACATTTCTGGCTTTTGATCTCGAATTGTAATTTCCACTGGTAAGTCTCTATCTTAATCCTCGTCGCCACTTTTATATCGATTTTGTTTTCGAAACTGTTGTACATAAAAAAACATGTAGTTAATCAACAATTAACTTTATTCCCTCTCGATACAACAGATCAAGGTGACGACTACACAAGAACTCTCCCCGACACCCGAAAGGTATGTTGGAATTTTCACCCCTGACCCGACACCCATATCAAGTTACAACACACTAGCACGGAATTTTTCATTACTTATTCTGTGACGAAACTGAATTTTAGTCTTTGAAATTGAGATACCTAAATAAGGGGGCGAAATTTTTCTCCGCCCCAGGCGGCTGACACTCACGCTACGCCACTGTTAATTAGTCCTGGTAATGTCTTCTGGTAGTCATACAAACGTTTCAGGTGGTTTGCTGATATTTCATTGTCATTTGCACTGAAGGTCTTGGTCATTCGGATGGCTGATACATGGCCTGCATTCATCACCACTCAAAAGTTGGAACATCAAAGTGTTAACTGAATAGTTGTCAGTGACCACACGCTGGACTATAAATCCTTTCTCTTCTACTGCTGTGATAACTTTAAGAGTTAAATTTTTAAGGTCAAATGCAGTTATGTTTGAAGTAAAGTAGAAGGCTACAGATATCCGATAAAATGTTGTTAGGCCATGGAAAAGCAAGCATAGCAAATTATTAGCTAATTTGTCTTCAAGTCCTATCAGATTCATGTCCATATTTGATTGGCCTAAAAATACATCCAATTTTCTGTCATAAATTAATTTAGGTGTGACGACAGCTTTGGCGATAAATCCCAAAGTCGACACAAGGGGGAACCCCTGAACTGAACAAACCTGACCTATGACATCACACATTCCTTTTTGGATTTGGACCTCGCTCCAGATGCATATGGTATCGCTCCGTGTTTAATCTGTACAGTCGTGCCATATTTCATATATAGAATAAATGTTAATCTTTTTATTGTATGTGGCCTGGTTTGCAGCGATAAATTTCACACAAACTGGTGACCACACACTGGTAACCTGAACGTGATATATGTTTTATGGTGCCTCTACTTGACAAAGGATTCTATCGTGCGACATGAAATATTTGTGGCCCATAGCTGGTGACGAAACATTTATTGGTTGAAACAGTCAAAAGATACATACAAGAAAGCAAATCAAAGCTTAGATTGATACAGACTAGATTACAGTTTGTACTAAACTCCTCTTTCCCATGTTATATCTATGGAACACCCTTCTTCTGTTTATTGGATAAAACAAACCTTTGTTCACATGCCTGTTGATCTGTAATTGGTATATTATAACTAATTGAATATCGTTCAATGAATAAGCATCGACTCGGGTTTGTGGGGTGGGAATTTTTATGCAAAAATCCATGCCTTCTAAGAGATACTTTGTCAGTTACAAAAATATAGAAACAATCATAAATCATTATTCTCATTTATTTTCACCTGAGTGTAGTAAATTTATATGCATATTCATACTTTTTTACGTATATAAACGTTTTTCCAGAATCATCCTGCCTTAAGTCTTTCTAAAAAACAAACTACTTCCGGATTATTGTGGTACTTCCCTAATATGTAAAAAATAATACATGTATAATCATTCATATAATTAGATAATAATCGCTTATTATAGTGCTCTCTTATTATAATAGTATAAATAAAACAAACAAAATCAAATATACACCATCGATGCACAAATGTGTGTTGACCTAGATTTACAAAATTCAACCACCAAACCAGTCACATTGTAAACTATAGACCATGTTATATCTCTATGTTGGTTTAGAGAGATGGAGTTTTTTTTTTTTAGAGAAAATACACCTGTTTATGTAACATATAACAGATTGATCGCATGTTTATACAAAAATGTTTTCTGATTTTCTCAAATCTTGAATTTTATAAATTTTTGTAAATATATATGTTTTAGTCAACAATCATAAATGGTGATAAGTTATTCATACTTCTGTAAAATTTTTTACACATATAAGCATTTAGAAAATACTTCCAAACACCTTCATGTAATTATCAATTCTCAGAACTTGTAATAAAAATTTGCCAAATGGAAATGTGTATTGTACTGTAAGTACAAAAGCTTCCGATACTGGTGTTCTCAAATGTTACAGTTTATGACTGCAATAAATGTCAGATGTTTATTCCTAGAATTTCAGTCTCTCTGTTCTTCTTTTGAATGCTTTGAGAAATTCTCACTTGTGTTCTTGCTCTTCAGTAGACACAACACGTTCTCCTTTTGTTCTAGTGTGATCTTACTTGTTAGAATAACTAGCTTGATAAAATTCATCCAGTTATTTTCAAGTAAGTTTAAAGAAATATAATATTTCCGGAGAATAATAATAATTATTATTTTATTTCGCGTTCGATAAATATAACGGGTTTTAGATAAATTTCTTTATTGTCAGAATGTCTGATTTGGAATTTGACATCGAAGAACTGTCTGAGAGTGAATCAGACAGCTGCATCAGCGTTAGCGAAGATGGATCATCAGATCACAGCGACGATGGAGTCGACACCTCTAAAAAAATTTAATATTTCCGGAGAATAATAATAATTATTATTTTATTTCGCGTTCGATAAATATAACGGGTTTTAGATAAATTTCTTTATTGTCAGAATGTCTGATTTGGAATTTGACATCGAAGAACTGTCTGAGAGTGAATCAGACAGCTGCATCAGCGTTAGCGAAGATGGATCATCAGATCACAGCGACGATGGAGTCGACACCTCTAAAAAAATTTAGTGGAAATAAACATGGATAATCCTCCACCACCTCCGCGATTTCCTTTTCGGGGAAGTTCAGGCTGTAATTTCACCCTTACAGATTACTTTGACCCTTTAGGGTTCTTTTTATTATTTTTTGACTTGGAATTAATCAATATGATTGTAACCGAAACGAACTACTACTCGTTGCAACAGGCACAGTTATCAACGGATCACTGGGAGCCAGTGACAGTCGAAGAAACATATATATTTCTAATGGTTTGTATATTGCAAGGACTGTTATACAAACCCAGTGAGAAAATGTACTGGTCCAGGAATGAACTTTTAAAGACCCCAATTTCCGGTAAACTAATGAAAAGAACAAGATATGAGGAAATCAAAGAAAAATTTACATTTTGCAAACAATAGCAATTTCAATCTCGAAACACATGATAATGCAAAACTTTGGAAGATTTGGCCAATAATAAATAATTTAAATTTAAAATTTTCCCATTATACCCCGGAACAAAATATCAGCATTGACGAGAGCCTCCTATTATTCAAAGGCCGTCTTTCCTGGAAGCAGTACATTCCTCAGAAACGGTCTCGTTACGGTGTAAAATTTTTTGTTATGTGAATCGGAAACAGGATATTTGCACAACTTTGTAATTTATATAGTGTTACGATATGTACTGGTGGCGACACGCAGCGGCCAACGAAAGTGATCAGTTGTCAGTTGTCTGTCATACAGTCCGTAACGAGTGTCTCCTCTTTAGTAGTAATAAATAATAATTTAAGTTTTGTCAGTCTTGTGCATTATACAACATATAATATAACATTGTGTCAGAATTATAGTCGTCATCGTCGTTTTCCTACTAGCAGCAGCTCGAAATAATGAGTTCACCGGTCAGTAACGCAGGTCAGCCATCTTTAACTTTATCCCGTTTAAGTGGTCAACAGGAACTATCCGGTAATCCAGTTCCATCGTTATTATTAGAAGGAAATTTAGCTCATATCTGGTCAATCTGGTATCAGAAATTTAAAATATTTTTGTGCGCTAGTAATTTAGAAAGTGAAACTGATTCCCGTAAAGTCGCCATATTTTTACCTTTTGTGGGAGAAGATGCGTTACAGGTTTTCAATTCCTTTAACTTGGATATGAACAATTGTCAATATTTGGATGTAGTAAAAAAATTTGAGTCTCATTGCAAATCTAAAACTAATCTCATGATTGAGAGAGATAATTTTTTGACCAGAAGACAAAAACCAGACGAGTCAATCGAAGACTTCGTAACTGCACTAAAGAACCTAAGCCTAACTTCGATAATCTCCGAGAGAGTTTGGTCCGAGACATGTTTATTGTAGGTTTGTCGTCCAATAATAAAGTCATCAGAGCTAGGCTACTTCAGGAAGAAGGCTTAATCTTAACGGAAGGCCATCAGCATAACCAAAAGCATCGAAATTACTCATCGTCAGGCGGAGCAGATTGAAAAGAACAGTGATGCACAGATACTCAAAGTCGAAAAGTTCAATCACAACAGCACTCGTCGTGGAAATCTACAAAATAAAGCAACAAGTAGCGGAAGGAGGACAGTCTTAGGTGGTCATCGAGAGTCGTTATCGTCAAAGTTCTCAAGGTTTCATCAAACAGGGTCAGGACAATCAATTATTATGTACGCGTTGTGGACAGGTACACTGAAATAAATGTCCGGCTATTAATGCTGTCTGCAAGCTTTGTAACAAAGTAGGTCATTATGCGAAATGTTGTACTAGACAAGTAAAATATGTTAATGTTAGTGATGATCGCGACCATGATAGTAATAAGTCGGATCTCTTTGTCATTAGATCTATTAGCCCCTTAAGCCCATAACCCGAGATATCTCGGGCTGTGCGTCACGATGCGCAGTCCATATCCCGAGATATCTCGGGCAAGTATTAAATAATCGTTTCTAAACATCCTATGCTTGATATATTACGGAAAAAGCTTATTTTGTATTCTATTGGATGTTTTCTATGACCTCAGCAAAGTTTGAAATTACACATCCAATAGAAGCTTTTGTTATTGACCAATTTTTTGGTCCCCTCCTATAGAAACATCACAAATTACTGATATTCTCGTGATGTATTTGTGTGCATACAGTAACTGATGCACATCTGTGCAGAAACCTATCTTCCCCTGAAACATACTTGGAAATAACCCACTAGCTTCGACAAACAGCTGTTCTCAAGGACATTTAGCTCTGTACACCAAACAGCGGCGCGTGTCACGTGATTACATAACGGCTGTCTGTTATAAATTTTATACCACCAGTGTAATTTTTAATGCCCCTGGTAATCAAGATGAGGGCCCTGACCATAGCCTGAAGCTCTGCCTGATTGTTTGAGCAGTGGCTGTATAGCTTAAAATATTCCTCATGGAAAACTTTGTTGTTCAAGGTGTCATATACAACAAGAACGGTGCCGGTGCTGTCATTATTCCTGGCACCATTAGTGTACACATGCCATCTGTAATAAACCTTACTATCTTCCTGGTCTCTTCCTGGATTTGGTTAGCAGAGTGATTTTGACATGAGGATGTTTCTAGATCGAAAAATATGTATCTATGGCCTGAAAGAGATTCTGCCAACGAGGTTTCCCAATTTATAATTTTATTGCCAATGTTTCCCTTTGATAGGGTTAAATCTATGTAACTTTCTCCTTGGTGACTAGAGAAAGTTGGGACGCCTGGCCCGTTATGTAAAATTAAGTTATGAGCATAAAGAAATTCAGTGAACCTCTCCCTGCGAGGATTCTCCAGCCTGTCATACCAAATCTGGGATCTTGAGTTAGTATCAATTCCGATTATAACAGGTAGGTTAAAGGATTTAATTAGTTTGGAAAATTCCGAGAGTTGTTCTTCAATGTTCCTGGAGGGAGCCAGATATGTGGAATTTAGTAGGAATTTTAAGTTTTTATATTCAGCTATTGTGGTGGGGGAGAACTGGTTTGACAGGTGAGGAGCCAGACAAAGAGAGATTTCCCGATTAAAATTAACTATTGCCGACTGTGTTCCTGAGTGGAGACACCCGAAGCGGCCCGGAATACTGCGAACCTTGTCCGTGGCATAAGGTTCTTGTAGCAAGGCGATATCAATGCCATGGTCAATGACATGTTTTAGTAAATAGTCTGTCGCTGAGGACGACCTATCTAGATTGATTTGTATTATTTTTATAGCCATTTTAACGGTATATGTTAATTTATATTAATCTACTTAGTACTAGACTTATATACTATTGGCGAGTGTTAGCCCAGCTAACCTCGCACTGATAAAGGTAAACAGGGCACCTACGATCCCTGGCTGTGTGGTTGATGTTGCCGTGTTCTTTTTCGTTCTTCCTGGACGAGTTGTAACGGATGCAGTTGATACATTTTATTTTCAATCTTTCCGCCTTGCATTGTTCGAAGGAGTGTGGTCCACTGCACATGGGGCAAAATTTTTTCGATTGGCACTGGGGGGCAAGATGGTTGTACCCCAAACATTTATTACAACTTTTGTAATAGTGGAAGTCATGCACTTTACGCGATGACCAGCCCATATAAAATATGTCGCTCGCCTGGCGAAATGATCTCCTTAATTCAGGAGAGACAGTGATTACCCATAACCGCTCTCCGCGGTCCTCTTTACCGATGAAAAAGACATTTCGAATGTGCTTTCGGACGTCTCCTAGTTGGTCGGAGTGTTGACTTTTGACGAATTTCAATATTGAGCCCTCATCTGTGCTCCAGACGACTCTCGGTATGATGATGCGGGGGTCCCTTAGCCCTGACCCGCACGTTGCCCCTCTTGCTGAGACATTCTACCAGTCTCTTTGCCCCTTCAGTAGTATTGCAGTTTATTAAAACACCATCTTTGATGGGTCTGTGTGATTTTACCCACACCTTAATCTTGGTGAGGTTTACACTCGTCAGACTTTCCATTGTGTCTTCAATACTCTTGCCTTCTTCAGTATTATACATTAATACCACCTTATCATTTCTAGATGGGGGCCTAAGCTTCAGGATGTCCGCGTAAGATTTTCCTGTTTTAGGGGTGGTGACTGGACTTTGAGTCCGGGCAGTTAGGGTTACGGATTCTTGCTGGTATTTCTGTTGTAGGTTGTTATAAGCAGCTGAGAGTGTGAGGAACATGTCCTGTGCTTCCTCTAGACTTCTGGCAATAGTATCGTGGATGTCTTTTTTCAAATTTCTGCTTCTTTTGCAGTGAATTTTGTGCCTGTTCGATGATCTCCATGAACGCCTCGACGGTGGGAATGTTGGATCGAGACATGATCGACCGATTATTTTTAACTTGGTTATACTACTTATACTACTTTAATCTTATGCTGTACTATTATTATTTATGCTACAGGTATGGCTGTGACACTAAAAACTACCAAAAATGCACAAAAACTGGTCAACTTACCGAATAGCTAAGTTCAACCAGGCAAAACGACTGGATAAGTACATCCTACACCTAGCAGACCTAAACGAATAGCTAAGTCCAAACGGGCAAAATGACTGGAAAAGTACGTCCTACACCTACCAGACCTAAACTGGAAAGCGGATTTGGTTAGCAGTAGCAGAGTGGTTCATTGCCCCAAGGCCAGTAATATAATTATCAATGCCGTGTGATCTTATGTCTCTAAGGAGGTTAAGGCTGTTTGGTGGGAAGTCACCCTTCAGGATAAGGTTCCTCATATTGTTGTCCGTGATACTATCCATATTAGTGGTTAGTATTTTCCATTTCCACAGAATGTTCTTAATCTTGAGATGTATGGGGAGCAGGTTGGCCAGGACTAACAGGGCATCCGTAGGTGCAGTGCGTAGGCCCTGCAGATACGTAACGTAAAGCCCCTCTGCACATACAAAAGCCGACGTTTATTATGGATGATGGAGGCCTTGTTACCCCAGATCTGGGCTGCATAAAGCAAAGCTGGCTCCACCGCACCTTTGTAAATCAGGGTACAGTTCCTGGGGCTAATGCCCCAAGTGTTTCTGGCAATATGGTGCAGCCAGTTGGCCTGTTGCTTCACCCTTTGGCAAGTCTGCTCAATGTGTTTGCCCCAGCTAAGAGTAAGGTCCAGGATGACTCCAAGATATTTTAGGTGTGAAGTTATTTTTATCTTTTGTCTATTGATGTTTATACACAGTGGTCGTTGTAATTGTTTCTGCTTTGACCTCCTGGTACACACAAGGGCCTCACACTTGGAGAAATTAATGGGAATTTTATGCTGTTCACTCCGATCATATACTGAATTTAGCAGTTCGTTGGCCTTGCTTTGGAGAATGTCACAGTTCCGGTGTCTTAACATTATGAGGGTGTTGTCAGCAAACCCTTGGATTTGAGTATCCTCCCCAATGTGGGTGGAATAGAGAAGGCCATCGTAGACCAGGTTCCATAGCCCTGGTCCACTCCTGGAGCCTTGGGGGCAACCCCGAGTAACCTGCTTAACCAGGTCCAGACCATTAGAGAAAAAAAAAACCAGCCTTTCTGTCTGATAAATAACTGTTTAGAAGGTTATAAATATTGGTCGGGATGCTTATTGTCCCTAGCCTCTCTAGGATGTTGGGCCACCAGAGGTGGTAAAAAGCTTTCTGAAAATCAATGGCAATTAAGAGGATGTGCTGGTCCTGCACCCAAGCATCTTCTACAAAGTTGACAACCCTTTGGATAGCAGTGATAGTAGAACATCCCCGGCAGAAACCGTGTTGGTTCATGTGCATTAAGTTATTGTTAGCCAAATGCCAGTTGATCTGGTCAATAAGTAGGCCATCTAAAACCTTCCCCATTACTGGTAGAAGGCTGATGGGGCGATAATCCTTAGCCTAGGATGGGTTATTGTTCTTGGGGATAAAGATGATATTAGCTGTTTTCCAGCAGTTAGGAAAGTAGCTAGTCTGGAGACACCCATTAAAAAGAACAACGAAGGCAATAGGTACCTCTTTATAGGCATTTCAGCAGTGATATTGTCTCTCCCTGGCAATTTTTTGTTGGCTAAGGTCAAGATTGCCCTGCCAATCTCATGAGAAAAAGTTGGCAACGTTGGCTGAGTGTATGGATGTTAAACTCGTGCTCTGCGTTTTGTCGAAATTATATGTTTATCTCCTTGGATTAACCACACATATTATAAATTATTTGAACTGGGAATTAATCTGCTCTCCGTAAGTACAAAACTTTTCAAAATTGGAACATTTTGTCGAAAGTTATCACCGTCAGAAATATTGGAAATTTGTCAGCCCCCATCGGGGCCTCCGACTGTGTTATTTCGGACTTTTCTTCGGTGTTTGATAGACCATTTTGACGTTAACTGACCCTCCAAGTTTGATGTTATTATGTCAATTACCAA